CCCCCACCACTAATACAGTTGTCCCACTATCCCCCCACCACTAATCCAGTTATCCCACTATCCCCCCACCACTAATCCAGTTGTTCTACTATCCTGTCACCACTCATCATGTTGTCCCACAATCAAGCCACCACTAATATTGTCCCACTATTAGTCATCACTAATCTAGTTGTATCAGAAGTATGACCAGGACCCATATAGTTTTACTTGGACCTAAAGTTAGTTTACAGCTTTCTTGATCATAACAGAAAGCTTTAACTTGACCTATTTAAGGAAATTAACCTGTCAATGCCCAATCATTTGACCTTGTCAGAAATCATTGACCCCTTGTGTACTCACCTAACACCAGTAAGCTCCTGTTGATGTTGTTAGACTCTACCAAGGTCTCTGCTGTAGAGTGTGAATCCTTCACTTTTTCACTTCCTGTAAAAAACAAGTCAATCACACAGTTAAAGAAAAAATTCTCAAGCATTGGTGAAGTGGTTGGCACATTTGATTTTCACCAAGACAGCCATGGTTTAATTCGCCAATTAGACATGAAAATATATGGGCCCAGGTCCATGGCCCACCACTTGGGTTTTATGGGTTTCTATATATATATAGTTTACGGTGTAGTGTCCACCTTACTGAAAGGCATTTGTGTTTATCCGAGGCAAACAACACTGAATTTTTGATAAATATTATCAAATGAATACAGATATTAATTTATATTTCAAAAAAATATTGAAAAACATCAATTTTGATAGCATGTATCGCACATTAAATCTTGTTCATTGATGGGAGTAAATGTACATAAGTGACTCCAAGATCCAAGTTTTTCCGCCTTTCTTATCTTATATACATTTGTATAATACATTAGTCAAGATTTTTAAAATGCAATATTTTACAATTTGTAAAAGTATCTGTTTCTCTATGTATGACGTAAAGTTGACAATTTTTAATCCAAGAATATATATTTCTTTTCAGTTTCAACACATCATCGATCCAAATGATAGCTTTAGCAAAAGAACCCTGGGCTCAAGATTATTATGTCTGATCGAAAATATTCCACTGGTATGGTACACAGTAAATCAGAATTATCCAGGTGTGTTATTCTTATTACACAACCGTTTCACATAACCCTTTAACCTCAACTGAACTCAAATTTCATTTTGAAGATATGTGGTCTTAAACTTGGTAATGCATCCAAATTCCATGTTTACAGATTTTATGACCCAAATCTACATACGCAAAGCATCCATTTCACACTGTCAAAGACGTTTATTGTTAAAATTCACCTTTAACCCACAACTTGGAATGTGTGACAAATTCCCATTCATACACCAGGTCATAAAGGATACAAAGCATAGCAAGATTAAACCTCTATGTCGGCCGGTTGTTGGAGGTTATGGCCAACATTTACATACAGAATGCATCAGTTCTATTTCTAATGACACAATAAGATGGGACTGACATGTATGTAATTCCTCTGTGTACTCCCTGTGTTATCTACAGTGATACAGTAGGACCCTCCTGTGTACTCCCTGTGTTATAGTGATACAGTAGGACCCTTCTGTGTACTCTCTGTGTTCTCTACAGTGATACAGTAGGACCCTTCTGTGTACTCCCTGTGTTATCTACAGTGACACAGTAGGACCCTTCTATGTACTCTCTGTGTTATCTACAGTGATACAGAAGGATCCGTCTGTGTACTCTCTGTGCTATCTACAGTGATACAGTAGGATCCTTCTGTGTACTCCCTGGCTTATCTACAGTGATACAGTAGGACCCTCCTGTGCTAATGACACAATAAGATGGGACTGACATGTATGTAATTCCTCTGTGTACTACCTGTGTTATCTACAGTGATACAGTAGGACCCTTCTGTGTATTCTCTGAGTTATCTACAGTGATACAGTAGGACCCTTCTGTGTATTCTCTGTGTTATCTACAGTGATACAGTAGGACCCTCCAGTGTACTCCCTGTGTTATCTACAGTGATACAGTAGGACCCTCCAGTGTACTCCCTGTGTTATCTACAGTGATACAGTAATGACACAATAAGATGGGACTGACATGTATGTAATTCCTCTGTGTACTACCTGTGTTATCTACAGTGATACAGTAGGACCCTGACATGTATGTAATTCCTCTGTGTACTCCCTGTGTTATATACAGTGATACAGTAGGACCCTCCTGTGTACTCTCTGTGGTATCTACAGTGATACAGTAGGACCCTTCTGTGTACTCCCTGTGTTATCTACAGTGACACAGTAGCACCCTTCTGTGTACTCTCTGTGTTATCTACAGTGACACAGTAGGACCCTTCTATGTACTCTCTGTGTTATCTACAGTGATACAGAAGGATCCTTCTATGTACTCTCTGTGCTATCTACAGTGATACAGTAGGACCCTTCTGTGTATTCTCTGAGTTATCTACAGTGATACAGTAGGACCCTTCTGTGTACTCTCTGTGTTCTCTACAGTGATACAGTAGGACCCTTCTGTGTACTCTCTGTGTTCTCTACAGTGATACAGTAGGACCCTTCTGTGTACTCTCTGTGTTATCTACAGTGATACAGAAGGATCCTTCTGTGTACTCTCTGTGCTATCTACAGTGATACAGTAGGACCCTTCTGTGTACTCTCTGTGTTATCTCCAGTGATACAGTAGGACCCTGCAGTGTACTCCCTGTGTTATCTACAGTGACACAGTAGGACCCTCCTGTGTACTCGCGGTGTTATCTACAGTGACACAGTAGGACCCTTCTGTGTACTCTCTGTGTTATCTCCAGTGATACAGTAGGACCCTGCAGTGTACTCCCTGTGTTATCTACAGTGATACAGTAGGCCCTTTCTGTGTTCTCTCTGTGCTATCTACAGTGATACAGTAGGACCCTCCTGTGTTCTCTCTGTGTTATCTACAGTGATACAGTAGGATCCTTATGTGTACTCCCTGTGTTATCTACAGTGATACAGTAGGACCTTTCTGTGTACTCTCTGTGCTATCTACAGTGATACAGTAGGACCCTCCTGTGTACTCTCTGTGTTATCTACAGTGATACAGTAGGATCCTTCTGTGTACTCTCTGTGTTATCTACAGTGATACAGTAGGACCCTGCAGTGTACTCCCTGTGTTATCTACAGTGACACAGTAGGAACCTCCTGTGTACTTCCTGTGTTATCTACAGTGATACAGTAGGACCCTTCTGTGTACTCTCTGTGTTATCTACAGTGATACAGTAGGACCCTCCTGTGTACTCCCTGGGTTATCTAGAGTGATACAGTAGGACACTTCGGTGTACTCCCTGTGTTATCTACAGTGATACAGTAGGATCCTCCTGTGTACTCCCTGTGTTATCTACAGTGATACAGTAGGTCACTTCTGTGTACTCTTTGTGTTATCTACAGTGATACAGTAGGACCCTCCTGTGTATTCTCTGTGTTATCTACAGTGATACAGTAGGACCCTCCAGTGTACTCCCTGTGTTATCTACAGTGATACAGTAGGATCCTTCTGTCTACTCCCTGTGTTATCTACAGTAGGACCATTCTGTGTACTCTCTGTGTTATCTACAGTGATACAGTAGGACCCTTATGGGTACTCCCCGTGTTATCTACAGTGATACAGTAGGATCCTTCTGTGTCCTCCGTGTGTTATCTACAGTGATACAGTAGGATCTTTATGTGTACTCCCCGTGTTATCTACAGTGATACAGTAGGATCCTTATGTGTACTCCCCGCGTTATCTACAGTGATACAGTAGGATCCTTCTGTGTACTCCCTGTTTTATCTACAGTGATACAGTAGGATCCTTCTGTGTACTCCCTGTTTTATCTACAGTGATACAGTAGGATCCTTCTGTCTACTCCCCGTGTTATCTACAGTAGGACCATTCTGTGTACTCCCTGTGTTATCTACAGTGATACAGTAGGATCCTTCTGTGTACTCCGTGTGTTATCTACAGTGATACAGTAGGATCCTTATGTGTACTCCCCGTGTTATCTACAGTGATACAGTAGGATCCTTCTGTGTACTCCCTGTGTTATCTACAGTGATACAGTAGGACCCTCCTGTGTACTCTCTGTGTTATCTACAGAGATACAGTAGGTCACTTCTGCGTACTCCCTGTGTTATCTACAGTGATACAGTAGGTCCCTTCTGTGTACTCTCTGTGTTATCTACAGTGATACAGTACGTCACTTCTGCGTACTCCCTGTGTTATCTACAGTGATACAGTAGGACCCTCCAGTGTACTCCCTGTGTTATCTACAGTGATACAGTAGGTCACTTCTGTGTACTCTCTGTGTTATCTACAGTGATACAGTACGTCACTTCTGCGTACTCCCTGTGTTATCTACAGTGATACAGTAGGACCCTCCTGTGTACTCTCTGTGTTATCTACAGAGATACAGTAGGTCACTTCTGCGTACTCCCTGTGTTATCTACAGTGATACAGTAGGATCCTTGTGTGTACTCCCTGTGTTATCTACAGTGATACAGAAGGATCCTTCTGTGTACTCCGTGTGTTATCTACAGTGATACATTAGGATCCTTATGTGTACTCCCCGTGTTATCTACAGTGATACAGTAGGACCCTCCTGTGTACTCTCTGTGTTATCTACAGTGATACAGTAGGTCACTTCTGCGTACTCCCTGTGTTATCTACAGTGATACAGTAGGACCCTTCTGTGTACTCCCCGTGTTATCTACAGTGATACAGTAGGAACCTCCTGTGTACTCCCTCATCTGTCAATACACCTAGATTATATTATAGGTGCATTGACAGAAGAGGCTAGTACCTGCAGTGGTACAATGTATACTGTTATCCAGCAGTGATACAGTAGGACCCTTCTGTGTACTCCCTGTGTTCTCTACAGTGATACAGTAGGACCCTCCTGTGTACTACCCGTGTTATCTACAGTGATACAGTAGGACCCTCCTGTGTACTCCCTCATCTGTCAATACACCTAGATTATATTATAGGTGCATTGACAGAAGAGGCTAGTACCTGCAGTGGTACAATGTATACTGTTATCCAGCACAAAATCACAACAAATCACAACAAACTTTAAATAAGGTTTTCGACAAATATACAGCAGTAACAAAAAAACAGAAACAGTCCTTTATAAACAAAATTTGACAAAATATATATATTCCAGTACTTTTCAAGGTATGCATCGAGCAAATTCTAGTATTTTCTATTGCTGACCTCCTTTCCAGCACTTTCATGGCCAGTATATGAAACTTATTGACAGTCATTTCATGAGAGGCCGAAGAGCAACCCAAGTTTCTTTAGATGGTTCAAGGTGTAGAACCAATGCCGTTTTTTAGTTTAGGTTCGGTGGGTTCTGTTATCCCTTACCTGGGTACCACCTGTTTATCCCTTACCTGGGTACCACCTGTTTATCCCTTACCTGGGTACCACCTGTTTATCCCTTACCTGGGTACCACCCGGTATGCAGGGCGATTACAGAAACAGTGCAAACTTAAGTAAAAGGGTCAATCGCATCATGTCAACCATCGTCCTGAAGAAGCCCACTGTTCGGGCGAAACCAGTAGACGTTACCTAATAATAAAACTCAACTTATCCCGAACCTGTTGCGATTGACTCTTATACTAAGTTTCTTTAGAAGTACAAAATCTTTGGTATATGGGCCTGTAACATATACCGGTAAATATAGGTCAATGTCTTATTCACCTGAACTGTTCCATATGTAATGCTTACATTACCCACATCAAAATCTGATTATTTAACTGTAGGCATGTGACAATAATGTCGGCTTGCCTTTACAAGGAATACTTCAAATTCAAACTAACTGAAAACTGATGAATGATCAAAATCTCATAAGTTGTAAACATTAAGATTTTCACGATTTAAATTTTTTGAAATTAAACTGTTTTTTGCATAATCTACATAATTATGTTACCCATATTTACGGCACTGAATGTCAGAAACAATTTTGAATATTATACATCACATCCAATGTGAGGACAAAAATATGATATGACCTTAACTGTTGCAAGTATGTTTAACCCAGAACAATCATCTAAACAAAAGCAAACTTCATATTCAATTTGGTAAATGTCTTCAGTGAAGACCTGTAATGATTATCATTCCTTTATTTATGGAGAGGTTTCGGCAAGTGAGAAATTACAAGAAAAGTTGACCTTCATATCATATATTATAACACAGTATATTTCCACATTAATAACTCACCTGCAAGATCTACAAATGTGAGCTTGCCACGTTTTGTAACATATAAGTTCTCATCATCTGGATCCTGCAGTTCGGAGTCGATTGATAGTGACATCATACTGTGACTTCGACTTGAGGTCTCGTTCAGACCATGTGACCCTGTCTGCCGGTTCTTCATTCCTGTAAAACAAAGTGTGTGTTTTTAGCTTTTGTGAATACCATATCTTTCTAGACCTGTGAGTTTGGTTTCCATAAGAGATTTCAGGTCAATAACTTTTTAATAAAAACTAATTTGCTTCATGCTTATGATATGAATCGCTGTTGGCCCCATGGTTAGTTAATTGGGTTAAGCATCCGAAATAGTGTATCAACTTTATAAGATAAGCTATGACATTTGGAAACAAAAATACTAACAAGACACTATTTGAAAGTATTTTAGTGAATTTTCCCGCCACAAGCAAAGAAAATCCAACCAATGAAAAACAGGGAAATTTAATTTACATGACAATTGTATATTTATCATGCATAGTATATCAGTTCACTTATTTGCATAATGGTACTAGGCTAAGCATGACTCCAATTAAAATGTGTATACAGATCACAGCGTGTGCAATTTTTCCATTACCTGGTAAGTATTTAAAATACCCTCTAATCTATATGATCTGTGTGACCCATGTACTAAGTGTTAATATAGTGAAGATAAAACCATTGAATGAAAGGCGTTTCTCTCCATGAAATTTATAGCCCAAAATATTTTAGGTAAAATAAACGCTGGATATAAATATTGGTATTTGTGATGTTGTTATTAGTTTTAAATGGTACCCGATCTGTAGCTCCTGAGCTTTAATTTTCTGTAAGTACAAAAAGAGAGATTTTGGTGCCGATAATCATCACCAGACATAACCAGTAATTCATCAACACATCATATTGATCCTGAACAATTTACCCGACTTGTTTCCACCTTACACACACATAACAAAACGTCCTAGTGAATCATTTACATCTAATAGTAGACTCGCATCATCTCTGGGGAGAGATATCCACAAATTTCATTGAAAAAACATACGAACATGCTTTGGAACAGTATATTACAACCTAATTCCCTAAAAAAAATATCAATTTTGAATGTGAACTACCGAACCCATGATGATATATATCTATTCTGATATTTATCCTACCTTGGTACACATAGATCAAGATCAAACAAGTCAATTTGTGTTTTGTATTCTGTGTTTTACCTGTGTAATTTATTTACCTGTATACAACGTCATGTCACGAGAGCATTTATTATAAATCTATTCCCACTTGAATTTGTTAGTTATACACATGAAACAGTTGAATTTTTATAACACCTAATTATCTGCTGGGCAAAGTTATACAAAGTCTGGTAAGCTTCGCAAGTTTGAAAACAAAAATTTTAAAATCAATATTATTGAGAATTGTTGAAATTTTATACATATTTTTTCAGATTCTTGCCTTAAGAAAAGGATTTTGAACTGATAAACATTTAATTTTAGCTATGAATTTTTGAAAATATTCTACGAAATTTTCACAGCAATGACAAAACAAGCTAGTCAGGCTTTGGACAGACAGGCCCTGGAGTAGTTATAAATATTTTATATCTTCCAATTTCATCGATACTACTACACCATGCATAACACAACAGTGACAGGAATATCTAGTATATGTACCTGTAGTGCTGCACTTGACAAACTCGACAACTTCAGACAATTAACTGGCATTTGTAGACAAAGATACAACTGAATCTGTTAGGATCAGATCTGCTTAATTGGCATAGAGTAGTCTCCCTTTCTTATAGAAGATAAAGCATCTTAAATATAGCTTTTCTACATTAGAGCTACTTCCATTTCTAATATATGTAATTCTCATGTTAATGCTATATACTTATAATTTCTGATAGCATGATTGATCAAGTGATGGACTGGCAGTGAATTGGTCTAAGTTTTAATTTAATTTTGTTTCAATTGTAAATACTCAAATTTTGAATATCTGTAATTCTGTAACATGCAATGCAAATTGTGATTTACATGTTTATAGAATAGTTCTGTTGAAAATGACCTAAACAAATGTTCTATAATAGAGACAATGAGAAATTTTAGTCAAACATCCTCATACCACCACGACTTGTGTTAAAAAGCAACTTTGATCTATTCACCCCTGATGCCACATTTGAACTCTTCCAATTCAAAGGTTGGAATAGTTCATTATTAAATTTCATGGGTGAATGAGTTAAATGTTCCCCATCATAGTGATTTCATTGTGAACTGAATCTGTTATATATAAGAGGCCAGCTGTGTTAAGAAACCACCAGCATTTAGAGACTACAGTAACTTTTGTACTTCCAAAGGGTGGTCTAGATCGCTTAATACAGGTTAGAAATATTACTGGTTGTATATTCTTCTGACTGTAGGAAAACCACCAGATAACAGATAAGTTTTGGTCTCTTCAATATCCCCAAAAAAGGGAATGGGGAAAACCTAATTCTACTGAGGATCTGATGTTTTGATTTAATTACCTTATACAATCATGTAGTGGGACAGAGACAGTGAACACCTTAACTAATTCCCCAGAACCAGCTGCTGGCCCCTGGGTGTCAAGGTATGTGACTAACTCCCCAGAACCTGCTGGCCCCTGGGTGTCAAGGTATGTGACTACCTCCCCAGAACCTGCTGGCCCCTGGGTGTCAAGGTATGTGACTAATTCCCCAGAACCTGCTGGCCCCTTGGTGTTAAGGTATGTGACTAACTCCCCAGAACCTGCTGGCCCCATGGGTGTCAAGGTATGTGACTAACTCCCCAGAACCTGCTGGCCCCAGGGTGTCAAGGTATGTGACTAACTCCCCAGAACCTGCTGGCCCCTGGGTGTCAAGGTATGTGACTGATTCCCCAGAACCTGCTGGCCCCAGGGTGTCAAGGTATGTGACTAACTCCCCAGAACCTGCTGGCTCCAGGGTGTCAAGGTATGGGACAACCTACGGGAAATTGTAAAGGACATATTCCATTCATTGAATGGAGGCAGGGTATAGTCTAGTGGTAGGATGCCTAGCTCATGACTGAAGGGTTGCTGGTAAGAGTCACGTCACGGCACTGTGTTGTCTCTTTGAGCAAGATACTTTATACCGCTTGTTTCAGTCTACTCAGCTGTAAATGAGGTAGTACATGGTTGGGCAGTGCTAGAATTGTTGAATGCTAGCTGTGAGCGCCGAAATGGCAGCACCGGCTGTATGCTCCCCAGGGAGTTGAGAACGATATTGGCTGGTTGCCAAGGCCCAATAATCACAGATAATAATTTGTGAACCTCTTTGAGACGACCTATGAACTAGGTTGTGATAAAGCGGTATATAAGAACCTCAAACTATTATTATTATTATTGTATAGGGCACATATGAGACATTTGAATTAATATCCATGACCTTGTGACCTTGAAAAATCAACTCCATTCTGCATTACCATAAACTTTTACAACCAATGACCTTGACACAGTTGTCACATTTTAACACTATGACTTTGATACAAACCAATTTCCAACACTACTTAATGCTATGTACCGGGTATTTATAATCTTAAAAAGAAGAGTCAGCATCACTTTAATCAATCGTTTTCCCCAAATCATGAAGCAGTTAATTCAAATACATTGTACATACATAGTTCAAAATTTCAAGTATGCGACTGGAACAATGTATACTTGAAGTTTTTGTCTAATCATAAAGACACAAACTGACCAATATGCAGAACAGAAGACAAAATGGGGCGACTGACTCACTCTGTTAGGAGATTTTTTTAGTTCTTTCAGTAACATGTAACAAGCTTGTTGAAACTTGATGTTTTTCTCTGAAATATTTTTAAATTTAGATATTCAGGGATGTCTTTAATTGCTAACTTTAATCAATTTTCACTGAGCCAATTTTAATTTCTTAATGGATGGTTTTCATGATCACGTCTAGAGATCCGAGTAGTTGTGAATACACATGATGTGTTTAGAATTTTATCTCTATTTGAAGTTGTGGTACGATGTTGGGGGTGATAGAGGGACTAGGTGATTAATTATCAACAATAGGTCTCATATATATACCTGACCCAGGTAGGTCTAAGTTTTGAAAGTGTTTGGCAGTTATGTTTATCTGTGTACTGCCCTAATGTATGTTGATGGATGTGTATTTAATTACAGAGAAGTAGAGTATAGTCAAACTTCAATTGTTATTACTAGTCTACTCAAGAACTCCAGTTTCTTTTTCTTTCCACTTGGGTCAGTGCCTTTATCATATGCAAATTTCAACTAGTTACCATAACATCCATAATTAAAAATGTAAATAAATATCATCACAACAGTATAGGGAAAGTATTCAATTTAAAGAAACAGACTGATCTGAAAGATCCATATAAGCTTTTGAACCAAAACCACACAAAATCCTCTATGTTATTTCCTTTTCATATATATTCATACACATACAACACCAGAAAAATGCCAAATAAATTGGTACTCTTTTTTTTTGTTGGAAATACAACAGAGCCCTGTGACTTTCTACCTTAACATGATATATGGTGTTTTATTGTTATAATTATAAGGTAATGCATGCACAGGCTATTACACATGTTGTCAAGTTTCTATGTTTCATATGAATTAGACCTTATTGTTCAAAATGCACCATCACAGACATTTAATCTAAAAGAAATTAAATAAAAATCTTGGCAAAATTTCAATTTCACTCTTTTGAAAAATTCAAAGGGGTAAGGAGTAAGTATATATGGCCCTGAAATGTCAATAGCTGCTATTAATGCAAAAAAAGAAAGCAAGAATGATGTAAATGGAGGCAGTCTAGCACCAGACAAAAGGCCATGTATTGAACTGAACGGTTATTTTATTGGCAGCGAGTGGTCACGAATTACCACAATGTAAAGTAAATGTTGGTTCTACGATAGATACTAACCAATACAAACAGACAAATAATCCCTTTAACTACTTAAGATTATTCATCAAACTTTGGTTAAGAAGAGATTTCCTACCCAATAGATCTTTTATTGTCACATCTATACCTCGAAATATTGATAATAAAACTTCGTCTTTGAGGCAGAGTTTAAAACAAATATCTTCTAATACTCGGGTTGAGAAGAGATTTTCTACCTTTTCTACCAATACATTACATATATATCACATCTACACCTTAATATATTGATCTTAAACTTTGATACGAATCTGATGGTAAAACAAATATTTTATAGGGCGTTATATTTGTAATGAGATCTGAACCACAGGGTCATGTCAACTGTTTGTATTCCCCCAGGAGTGAGTACACTTGGGGTCTGTCATCATACAACGAGACCCTTGGAGATCAGGCCTGTTATTGGTGACCATCGCTACCTAACAACACATACTTCCTACCTGGCAACATCTCCCATGTTCTACTCCGATCATCTTGAAAGACATTTGAATATGTAAATTATGTGTGTTCCTGTAAAGCCACAAATCAGCTGTTTTACTGTTTCCATGACAACACTCCCAAGTTTTTCTCCAATCATCAATTTTTTTTAAGTTTTTTGTACGTGCATGTTATGAGACAGATTTTAATTGTTTTGATCAGATTAAAGTCGCCTTTTAGCTTTGTGCTAGACTAGGAACTTCCCTATAGCTGAANGGGGGTGGGGGTGGGGGGGTGTCGTAGGTTTGATCTCCGGTTTGACTGTGGAAGCACACTACTCTTTGTCCTGTTACAGTTAAATCATTGTCTTTCTACAAACCAGTAAACTGTTTTATTGGCCCTCATACATATCTACAGGTATATACGCTAAGCTTATTTTGTACATGTATTGTCAAAAACAATATTCAAAACCTATTTTATTTTTGGACTTTCAAAAACTGCACCCCAGTTTCCAAAGTATCCAGCAAAGAATACAAATAGTGTTGTGGTCCAAATACAGCTGAAAATAGCTCATTCAGCAAGAGTGTGCCAAGTAGGTTAAGTCAGCTTTCGAAATTGTACCAAGACATTTGTCTCAATTGCATTCGCAAGATACATTCAGTCAGAGGGATAAGCTTTATGCTTACCCATTTCAGCCCTTATTGGGTGTTAAAATGTTTACTTAAAGAACAAGGTAATTTATATGACAGATTGTATCCCTATACAATTTTGATGTAACCTCAGGTGTTCAATCATCAGTTTTAAACAAATATATCTTCTGTTTCATTTAATGATTATTCAAGAATGCAATCAATATTGTCCTGTACATGCGTCCGAGAACTTCGTACCAGACATGTGATTGCACTTTCTGTTTAACTAAGATCTAATTCAACTCTACTGAGCTAACATTTGTCTACCATCTAGAAAGCAACTATGTTCCCCACAAACAATTCATTTAAATATTGACAGGTATATACTGTTTCACCTGCTATTCTGTAATCACTGCATGGCTTCATGAAAGATGAAAGGTTCTCATCGATCTCATCAAATTTGTGATATGTTTTTGATCACAGACATTTTTTTATGATTGGGAATATCTATCAACTTCATATAGAGAAGCACCATGACTGAGCTGTAGAAATCTAAACCTTGTTATACTGCCACCATTTGTCATCATGGTTAATAGTGGCATTACAAGGGAGTCTGGCAATGTAAAGAGGGAAATGTAAAGATAGAGGGGAAAAAGGTCTCCACATATGTTGGCGGTATTATAAGTAAAGAGACATATAAAACAATGGGCAGTATTTAGAGGTTTCGTTGTACAACTATATACATGAACATTTTTCAACTGTTTTAAAGAATCACAAAACATGTATACCTTCCTGTGTGTCTGCTGATTCTGTGTCTGGTTTTGGAAGCCCTATACTGATGTCTTCGATGTCAAAGCGGAGTGGCCCTACCAGAGCTCCTTGCTCAGTCTTTAGGTAACACAGATATATATCCTTTTCCTCATAAATACCCTCCACATCCTCTAGATCAACATCGTTTAAATCATCCACATCAGGGAAATCGTAACCAGTCTTACTACCAATACTTTCCACCTTTGGTTTATTTGAATCTTTTTTCGTTGTTTCTAATGGCTCCACAATTTTAAGTTCACGACTTGTCTGTTTATTTCCATCCTGAAATTCTACCGTTTTTTTCGGTGAAACTTCCCTTTCTAAATCTGACCTCTGACCTGACATTATTCCTTTAACATTACCAGAGTCCCTAGTTTTACCATTGTCATTAGTTTGACCTGGATTGACCCTAGCCTGACCTTGGTTGACCTCTGGTCTTCCCTGAGGAGGTTGAACTGCTGCTTTAGCAGGCCGTGTGACCCCTGACCCCCTGATAGAACTTCTTGTCCTAGAATTACTCCTCATGACATATTGCACAGCTGAGTTTTCCTTAGAGTACAATTTTCCAGCTCTATTTCCTATAATCTGGGACTCGCTCCGCCGTCCCTCGTTTTGGTGCAACCCACCCTCCCCTCTGTTAGGGAATTGCTCACTGTACGGTCTTAAGCCATTGTTATTTTCCAGCCGCCTGGGTGGGGGATGCGACCTATCACTGTACTGAGGATTAGTTGGAGCCGGTGGGGCTCTATATTGTTGTGAGGCTGACTCTTCAAAGTAAGGATCTGAGCCAAATGGATCACGATTTCTGCGGTCATTATTTGGGTAGGGTTGAGAAAGCCTTGGTGTGCCACGTGCTGGACTGTCTAGGTTGTGTGGATCACGTGGTGGAGGGGGCGGTCTATTGGGGGGCACAGGCCCATGAGGCGGTTGGGGTACATAGTTGTCTGAACCTCTGTGAGTATTAACTTTGTCTAGATATCTCTGCCGATCAGTGTCTTGTCTGTGAAAATTAGCACCTTGGGATCTCTGTTGTTGATCATAATATGGCTCCTGCCTCTGAACATTTCTCTGGTCAAAGTTGTGTTGTTGCTGTGGTTGTGGAGTTCTCCTGTACCGTGGGTCTATGTTAGGTAAGTCGCGAGACGGATTACTTCCTCTGTTAAAGTTATCATAGGGATTATCTCCCCTTCTGGGAGCATCCCCTATTTGTGGTATATTTCCCTCCCTATCATACCGTGGTGAACTTTTATATTCCTGTCCCGGATTTGGTGTTCTGTCCTGTCCATTACTTGCTTTCAGATCGTAATATCGTTGACGAACATCTCCAGGGTGATGGTACCTCTGTTGTCCCCTAGGGGGCCCTGGGTTATGAACAGGGGGGTCCCTCAACTCTGGTTGGTTGTAGTCATGTCTGTCTCCAGACATTGGCTGTTGTCTGTCATCAGACTGGTACCTCATTTCTTGGACATATGATAACTATCACACAATAACAATTACCTATATTATAAAGTCATAATCGCTTCCCAAGTGTTTCATCTGTTACAACAGTCACTGGGATGGCATTATCACAATATTCCAATCTTCAATTTCTGAACTTTAAGGACACTTAAACAAATCTACAAGTTTCCACTGGTATTATCGTTTTAAGTTTTATGGACTATATGATTAACCTCCTACTAGCATATGTATTATGCAGATACGCCTCGATCTAGTAACAACAGGCATGTAAGCGCCCCGATCAATTTCTCATGAGTTTTCATGCTAGAATGCTGTCAGAAGTTTGCAACCCAGGAGTTCTCTCTAGGTCGTCAATATGTGTCACCATCTTAATATCACATTTGGTAGCCTGGACGAAATCTCCCGGCCATTATCAGTTCTCGGTCAACAAGCTGAAGATCTAGACCATCCTGAGGCAGGCATCAGTGGAGATCCAATGTGGGCCTAGATAAGCCTGTATCGAGTACTTGACTGCAAAACCAATTAAATCCACGCCACCGGTCTCAAAGTCTCTTTCTTATTCTCAACAAGCACATTTTAAAATGTTCCTTTTGGTACAATAGGGTCAAGCCAAGTGACTTTGGTCTTTAGAAAACACAGCTATAGCAAGGAGAAAACTATTTAATTCTTCTGTCATATTGTGAAGTAAATAATATCATGATTGAAAAGAGTAGACTTGTACATATAAAGCTGGATTGTTAACCCATCAAAGCTATTGAATTCTTTCATAACACCAATGTTGTACCTCCTTTCTCTGCGTTCACAGAAACGGGAATACCATAAACTTCTGTTGTAGGTATTTGAGCATTCAACAACTACATATTCAAACCTTATCACACTTAAACTTGAATTATTATCCCGACAGAATTGTCCCAATCATTAGTCAATGTACATGTGTGTATGTTAACGGTTTACAGACTTAAGGTGTATGGGTAATATCACAGAATGCTCACACTAGTAATCTTGCATACACCTTTAAACTCCGACTGTATTGACGAGCGACACAAATTAAATTCCAAAGGTGATCAAGTGTCCCAATCTTGTGGTGAAATATCAAATGAATTCTCATTAAAAATAAAGTCGGACTATAAACACTGTCTGTTATTCCTCGAGTCCCGTACACAACAATAGTGTGACGGGGTATATTGTCTGAACAGAGGACCCTTTACACTACCGACACATGCCATGTAATCCTACTTACATGGAACTGTTTTAAATCCTAAAGGAAGTGAAGGTTTATGTCGATGTACATGAAGGAGCCACTCAGGTGTGTACAAACAAATATACACAGATTCTCACTCCATGTCGTCTCTTCAAAGCCATTGTAGTTAACGGTGTACAGGTGTAATATTTCCAGGTAACTCCACCCCTTCACCTATACATGTGTACATTACCTGGCCTCCAACAGTGTAAGATGTCTGGGGTCCATATATACCACAATCTTATTTAAAAGTGACAGGTGTTTCTCGTTGTTTGAAACATGTTTCAGGTATGCTCCTGAAGTGCCACATTATGTCACAAGAGTTAAACTTTTACAGATATATATACATACTGTAGTTCATTGCAGTTGTCAAGATTGATTTATTCTCATGTAAGGAATCCAAAGTCAGCACTTGAAAACAATTACCTGCATGTTGCAGGTGTAACAGTCATAGATGCCATATATATATATCACAGGTATAACATGTTATTTCCAAATACAATACAGGAGTGGAGTTAAGCACAGATGAATATCAAGTCTGACACTATCATCTTTAACACATACTACTCAGCACAGTACATGTCTGTAAAATACCTGTATTTACCTGTTCAAAGATGTACAGGTACGTTTGTCCAGGTATATAGCCACTAGCACCTGTTTGTAGTAGTACTACAAGTATATACTGTGTTATCACATGGTCCAGATTGGCTCGGAGCAAAAACTCTGCGAGATAAAACTAAATAGTGTACGGGACACATGGACTAGCTTTAGTGCCAGCTTTACATCGATCAGGCTGTAACGGAAGCTAACAAAGCCACCTAGCAAGGGTTTGGTGTCGTTTACCTATTTATATGCCATCAAAGCCGCAAAACAATCCATAACACGGACCTGATGCTGGGGCAGATACATGGGGATAAGAACAAATACGGTGTGACCGTTCATTTAATATACATACACCTGTCCTTCGTGACAATGGTCGTGCATACTTATATAAACCATCAACATGTCTTGTATGAACCTTATAAGGCTAATCACTAACTTGTACAGCACTATGTACACAAACACTTTCATGTCGAGATAAGACTATAGGGTATCAACTGATGTGAAATGATCAATTGTGGAGAGGGTAGGGTTGGTGGTGTTATGTATACACAGGTCCACGGTGTTATCACAGGTCGTGTGTACATGTTATCGCACTTTAATGATGAACAAATTACATCACGATAATTTCAAATACACATCTAGTGGTTTTTGGTTTTGTGAATTTTACAGCCAAATATGAATGGTTTCCCCTACCAAAAATTTATGCTTTTCTAAAAACTTATAAAACATTTCTATATCTTCTGAATTCCTACAAAGACATATATAATTGTATTTTGCCATTTTTGAAAGCTTCAATGGCATACCCCTATCATTTTTAAGTAAAGAAAATTCCAAAGGACCCTATGAATTTTTCACTATACATATATATTTTCAAATACATGTAATACAAAAAGACCCCAGTTAATCTGAAAAGGACCCCATTTATTGAATACCCAGGCCAGTCATGACTCTGGGAAAGGCATAGGTAACCCATGAAAAAGGTGTAAAAATCGCTGGCATCCGACAATTACTTCCATCGCAATTCTCTGTGTTGACCGTTTTACTTACAATGATAGAATGCACGTACTATTTAGCTACCTCAGAACTTACTTCCAACCAACTGAACAAGGTTTTATTGATATCATGACTGTGATGACGTTCATAATGAATTCATAGCTAATCAATGGTAGTTTTACTAATTTCCAATCAATATGCTAGCTTACCATAACTGTATGCTTGAAGAGACATTTTCAGATTTATATAATAGTGTTGTACTTTAGCATAGAAGTTGAAAAATACATCATTACTTTTATAATCATTCTGACTGTAAATAATTCAATAATTGCCTTTCATTCTGATATGAGAAAACTTTATCCTCTACAAGGTATGTTCACTGATCTGGACTTAGTCGTAATATACTGAATAACGTACATCACAGTCCCAGTTGATGCATCAGTGAACTTATTACTTAAACACTATATTAAGTAGGGATACTCACGCTACAAAAACTGTCAACTGTAAAAATATTAGTTTTATTTTACTATTGGATAAGTGATTATACTTACAAAAGAAACAATTGATAGTTTTCTGTCTGATTGCCTGTATTCAATACATCTACAATCTCCATTTTTTTATATTTTTTATTGAATTAGGACTGTATAAATCCAAATCTCATTACGACCCTCATCAAGCTCATCAATATGAATGCAGGTCAATGTGATATAGAAACAGGCTAGATTATAATAAGACAAGAACAATTACATATGACGGCAATGAAACGTTTATTAAAGGTTTCAAACAAAGCATTATGAGGGACTATATAGTTTTTTGTACAAATTGAATACAAAAAGGGGCAATAACTGTGTAAATAATCCTGGTATTAGTATATAAGCTAGACAACTACATAAGATGTTGGTTAACCGACCACATATACAGGAAATTGGACGAAAACTTAGGAACAAGTTATCCATACCAGATTGTGTCTATGACCAAATAATTTAATTTACAAGTGCATCAGTAGAAGGGTATTTAAGGCCACAAGCCATCTTACATGTCATAACCATGTTTTCTGTTGAAGTTATCTTTATTTATTTTTCATAATCAGCATTATACACTGAAGTTCAGTATCTGCCTAGTGTTACCACTGTATGAGTGCTTGTGTAACTTTACAAAATGTATTAAAGTTTTTAGTATGGAACGGTTTTTGAAAAGAGCTGCAAGTCATGGATGATAGCATACAGCCTTAAGTGAAGTAACAAACATTTTATCCATCACAAGCATATAGCTAATATTTTCCAAACACTAGCTCCTTTTGAGCACTTCCTTTGTATATCAGGCAGAATGGTATTTTTTATACATATTCACACATGTTGTATTATCATTTCACCCTAATATATAGTCTAGATCTACATGAAACATGTTTCCTGTAGAGCACCATAAATCAGGGTTTTGTTATGACTACCTGTACAGTACATTATTGATCATTTTTACCATTAAATAAAACAAAGGGTTTACCTGCTACACTCAGGTACATAACATCTCAAATACCTGTTTTCTACATAGAAATGGCAAGGGCTCTATAGAAATACCCAGAATGATTTCAGATGGCTGCTGGTACCCCTTAGAACAAGAGTGTTACAAAAAAATCAATGTCCCTAGCCTCTAGTAATAAAACAGTATTCATGTCCTCAGAACCAACTCCAGCTCTGGCATTCATCTCCAACGTAGGCCTACCAGCCACCCATGTACAACCTGTGTCAGGATGCAATGTGTCGCAATGCTTGATTACATCCCGGAAATGGAGGGGGTTTAATTCATTACACCATGCATTACTGGAGAAACATGGCGGCCTCAGGGCAGTGTTGGCAATCATAGCCAGGTAAAACACAGCCTGTATTTCATTGAAGCCAGCAAGGGTGCATGGCATGAAAACCACTCGCTGGGTATGAAATGATTAAATATTAACATTGAATATCTCGACTCATTCTCTAATTTATGATGGTATAACGATGCAGTGACATACACAACATGTCATTCCACAATAATAATTATGATTGTAAATTATTTCTTCTGCTCAGTATGTATTATCACAACATTAAAAATTTATATTTTTAATCATGTCGTAAACAAAACATTAAATTATACATTATGTCTTTTTGTTCACATATATAACTAAAGCGTGTGTATAATAGTGCAAGTAGAAGTATGATATTTTACTTGTGTAATAGGACAAGTCGGGCCTAGGGCACGTTCCCCACACGGTCACGAGCCCAAGTCCTGCATCGCCTATAGCTACTGTCAACCCAGGTTCGATGGGTATCCCCTTGCCAAGCAAACACCAAATGCTTGAAACAAGGGTTGGTAACAGGCACCACTGTAACAGGAGAGGAAAGAATGCACGGCCAGACTGGGATTCAAACCCAGGACCCTCCGAACTCAAGACGGACGCTCTACCAATTGAGCTATCTGGTCGCCGACGATCGACCCAGTCCAGTTCCGCTACATTCCTTCCCTCCTTTTTCTAAGTCTTCACCCTGAAGACAACTATTTACAACCCAGGTTCGATGGGTATCCCCTTGCCAAGTGTATACACCTAATGCTTGAAACAAGGATTGGTCACAGGCACCACTGTAAAAGGAGAGGAAAAAATACACCGCCAGACTGGGATCGAACCCGGGACCCTCCGAACTCTTGACAAACGCTCTACCAATTGAGCTATCTGGTTCGCCGACGATCAACCCAGTCCAGTAATGCTACACTTGTAAAACATTTTAAATATCTGCACAAACTGTTCAAGATTTTAATTAAATGCAATATAGTATCTACTCATGTGGAGGGGGGATATATAAGATGTTTGTACCATGGCATATATTCAAATTTAAATCATCATACTTTTTCAAGTTTATCATGGGAGAAAAACACAGTGGCAAAGATCTTGACTTCTCTTTAAGTACCCCTCTCCCACTGCATTGTGTTTTAACCTTATATACAGTAACCTCCCCTTAACCTCCGTTAACACATTTTGCGAGAACACTTCAGTTGACCAGGTAGCTCAAATCCAGGGTTTGAGTCCCGATCTACCCCCTCAGATGTCCGGGGTTCGAGTCCCGATCTACCCTTCAGTTGTCTTTTTTTACATTCAGAACACTGTTACCAATTGCATTTTATTTATTTCATCTTAATATTATTTCTAATAAAAGTTCTGCAAGGTATGCTTTTCTTTTCAGAAATGATTTATCAAAGCTATAGACATGCTGCAAAAAAAAAAACAGTTTCCCACACTTAGTAACAATTTTTGGCAGTGGTATTAATTACTTACAATCCTCTATTTAATAAAATAATAAATGTATCGTAAAAATGCTGATGATAGTTTCTGTGTGTAAGTCAATTAATTAAATTTAATCAAGATATAGTCATTATGCTGTCAGATTCATAGGATTAAGTACTAAACAAAAGCCTTGACAGATCCCTGATATCTATATATA